AACAAAAAGTCCCATATTGAGATATTCTTTTACGTGTCTTGTTTTTGGATTATTTCCTCACTTTCTATGGTACTTCCAAACATAGTAGAAATAGGAAATAAATATTCTGAGCCATGGCACATCTGAAAGCTCTTTATTCTACTTTCTCATGCCAATGATCATTTGCACCTACAATTCCAGGTTGAAAAAAATTTCCCTTGGAAGTCTGAAGGCATCATCCTGTCTCCCAATGTTGAATGTAACAGCTGAAAGGCGGAATCCATTCTAATTCTTTATTATTATTGTTATATAATAAATATACAATAATAGCTTTATTGTTGATAAGCAGTGAAGGTGGATTTGGCTCAGAACCTTAAATCAAAAGGACTTGTTGGGCTTCCCTGGTGGCGCAGCGGTTGCGAGCCCGCCTGCCGATGCCGGGGACACGGGTTCGTGCCCCGGTCTGGGAAGATCCCACATGCCGTGGAGCGGCTGGGCCCGTGAGTCATGGCCGCCGAGCCTGCGCATCCAGAGCCTGTGCTCCGCAACGGGAGAGGCCACAACAGTGAGAGGCCTGCGTACCGCCAAAAAAAAAAAAAAGGACTTGTTAATATTTCATCCAGGAATTAGGCAGACATATTTACCTAGTCACAGGCAGAGCTGGGCAAAGCAGGCTTTCTCTGCAGGGGCAGGCTCAAGTGTCCTGGCACAAAGTAGATCACAAACTGAGCAGGGAGATACCAAAGAGAGCCCCATGGGGCTGAGCCAGGCGTTCTCAGTACGTCAGGCTTCCTCCCCTGGGGAGAGTGAGTGAGGGCAGGGACCTGTGGAGGGAGGCCCAGAGAGTTTCCCTACTGGGAAATGTACATGGAAACATGATGCCAGGGGAAAAAAATACCCCAACTTAGCTGTTTTCTCATTAAAAATTAAAATAAACTTTGTCCTTTTGTTCTTTTTTTTTTGAAAGATTTCCTAATTTTTATCTTCCAAAACTTCTGTTAACATTTTTGGCTTTAACAATAATATTTTTTATTTTCAAAAGACCTTTCTTGTTTTCCGAAAGAGTATCAAGACTATACAAGAAATTCTGCAAATCAGCAAAGTGAATTCAGGAAACCCAATAGAAAAATGGATAAAGGATGTAAAAAAGCAGTCTGTGCAAGGGGAAATCCGAAAGACTAGAAAATGGATGAAGAAATGTTCAGACCCACTATTAACCCTAAATGCAACCCAGAACAGTGAGATGGCATCAGGCTGGCAGCTACTGAGAAGCTGGATAATATCAAGTGTTGAGAAGGATGAGTCAAAAAAGGGAGTCCTCATGTCCTGGTGGTGGGAGTGTCAATGGGCACAACAATTCTGGAAAATGTAGAGCCTGCCAGGACTCAGTGAAATTAAGCAAGAGAATCCTTTGTGACCTCCCACTTTCACTCCTGGGTATATTTCACAGGGAAATTCTCACCTAGGTCCACATGGGAACTTGACGAAGCATTAATAGCAGAGATAAAACAGTAAGACCATTTCTAGGTGATTAATATTATCACAGGAGAGGCAAGGATGGAGGATGCAGTGAGGGGACTGAGTAGAGAAGCATAAGGCAATCGAGGAAAGAAAAGGAAGAAAAACTGTACTGAAAAAGGGTATTGCGGTTAGGATCTCATTGATGCAAAAAAAAAAAATAATGTGTGCGTGTGTGCATGAAATTAAGTGTGAGAATATTCTGTGACCTGGCAATTTCATTCTTGGTTATAGTCCCTAGAGACAGTCTCACCTAGGTCCACGTGGGGACATGATGTGTTCATTGTGGTAGTTGGGTGTTGGTGACAATCTAGGGTTCATCATTAGGGGATTGGGTAAATATACTATGATGGATACACTCCATTGAATATTGTGCAGCGGTTCATAGCAACAAACCAGATGTACAAATAGCAACATGGTTAGATCTTAAACATTTATTCTTGGGTGAAAAAGATCAGGAACAAATGAGATGTATAAAAGTTCCATTTATCTACTTTAAAAAACAGATAGGCACACAAACTATACCACATATTTGATAAGGATACATATTTAAGAATATATATTATTTCAGTTATCTATTGATACATAACAGACCAACCCAAAGCTTCAGTGGCTTAAAACAAACAACTACAGTGGACCCTTGAACAAGACGGGTTTGGACTGCGTGGTTCCACGTATATGCAGATTTTTTTCACTAAAAATGTGTTACACCATCTGCAGATACTGAACCGGGGATACAGGGGGTGAAGTTATACTTGAATTTTCAACTGCAGGGGAGGGTCGGTGCCCCTAACCCCTGCATCATTCAAGGGTCAATTGTATATTTATTGTTTCTCAGGATTCTCTGGGTCAGAAATCTGAGCAGGCCTAGGCCACATGGACCATGTGGCATTGGCTAGGGTTACACACTTGGATGCATTCAGCTGTTGGCTGGGCTGGGCTGGAAGCTCCCAGAAGGCTTTGTTCACATGTGGAGGGCCTTGGTGCGCCTTCATGTTCTCTCTCTCTCCATATTGTGTCTTACCCCCCGGGTCTCTCCACTAGGTCTCTCTCTCCAGCAGGATAGCTGGACTTCCTTACAGCCTGGTGGCCGGCTTCCAAGAGTGAAAAATGAAGCTTCCAGGTCTCTTGAAGGCTGGGTCCAGAACTGACAGATTATCAATTCGAGCACTTTCTATTGGTTGAGGCAAGTCACACGGGCAGCCCAGATTCAAGGGGAGGGGAAATGGACTCGACCTCTGGATGGGTGATGGACAGTGAGGGGAGAACTTGACGGCCACCATCTTTGGAGACTGTAACAAGTTGCAAACGCATGATTTTGGCTGCCTCTGAAGAGTCGAGGAATTGGTGTGGGGAAACAGGATGCAGGAGGAAAAGCAATAAAATAAGAGAAAGGTCTTGCTCAGACTTCCGAGGAGGACTGGGTGTCATGAATTCAGGAATACCACTAACCTAACTTCCTGCACCTGAGGTACAGAAACGAAACAAACAAACAAAAAATCTAAATCAACCAAATAAAACAGGATTCCATAACCAAAATCAGAAAACCAACAAAAAGTAATGAGACAATATGGAAACCTCAGAAACAGCCCAAGCATATGTCAATTTTTGGTAGATTGAAATGCTGACTTTCAAATAGGGAGAAAGAGAAGGATGCAGAGAAACGTCTTCTCTGTTCTCTCTCGCCAGTGCCGGGGTGGGGGGTTGTACCCTGAAACTTGGAATCAGTTCAGTAAACGTATGTGGCCGGTGAGAATGCCCCCATCCCTGGATGGCCGTTGGTAAACCTTGATACTCAGTAGAATAAGCCATTTGTTAAGCTTGTGCCTGCATCTTGGAACTAAAACCACATCCCTGCCAAGACTGGGACTTCATGGTCGTGTTTTTCAAACTTTGAGTTGTGACCCCAACTTGGGAAACTCAATTTAGTTGGTCATGAATTTGAATGCAAGTAGTAAGGTAAGCATTGTTTTATGAAACGTTCATCTTAATAATCTATCTACAAATTCATTCATTCATTCAGTAAATACTCATTGAGAACCTACTATGTGCCAGGCACTGGGGATTCAGGAGAAAGTAAAACATACAAATATGCGTGTGTGTGGGTGCCCGCGTGTGTGCTCTGGATCACACTGTAAAACGTATCTCTTACTGCGAGTTACAGTCAAAAAGCAAAGCAGCCACCACTGCTTCTGTGGCTTCGCAGGAATGCCAGGCTATTGGAGTGTGTGGCTACTTCCTGTGTGTCAGAAAGTTACCCCAAGAAAAGCACAGGCCTCTGTCCCAAACCCTTTTCAGCACAAGGGGAAACACAGGCAGCTTTATAAAAGGAACTCTGCCCGTAGCCTGCAGCTAAGTTTGGTCAGGGTCAGAAAATCAGGGACGAAAACCGGGTTTTCTTTCCCAAGCTATTGTTCGCGCGAGCGTAGACGGCGAGGTCGCGCGAGAGTAGACGGCAAGTTCGCGCGAGAGTAGACGGCAAGTTTGCGCGAGAGTAGACGGCGAGTTAATCACGCTTTTCAGTTCATGGAGGCACGTCTTCCTCAGAGGACTGTGAAGACCCCCTCGGATGGTATGCCTTTTTTCTTCTTTATCCGGTTTTGCCTCCCAATTTCCCTACCCACCTCCACCCGGGTCAAGTCACTTAATCTCCCCAAGGCTTTATTTCCTCCTCCGTGAAGTGGGAACAGCAGAAGACCCACCTTCTGGAGTGAGAGTTACCTGAGAAAAGGTCTGTGGATTATTCAGCCCCATGGCTGGGTGTGAGGACCGAGGTTTGTGTTGCCAGGGCCACAGAAGGGGCTTATTTTATGAGGTTGAACCCCTCCTGCCCACTGCCTTCTGAAGGGATGCTCTTCCCTCCTTCCCTCGAACTTTGGGTCCCTGAGGGGCTTTACTCCCCTCCTGGAGAGTGAGGCCATCTGGCCCAGAGCCGGGGAGCCTGGTGGCTGATGCAGCAGGACGCGGCGGGGTGCGCCTAGGCTCAGATGCCGGATTGGGCAAGAGCACAGAAGCGACCCCTCTGATCCTGGTCAGGGATATCTGCCCAACAATTCTGGGAAATTCAGAGGCGGGAAGTGAAAGGGGGGAGGGGCAGGGGGGGAAGAGCCAACTGCACCCCGGCCCCTCCTGGCCTGGCCCCCTCCCAAATGTGCCATGAGGAGTGAGGTGACTTGCTTGTGGGGGGAAAGCGGACCAAAGAGACCCCTTCTCTGTGAGGGACAGAGACAGTCCTGCCCCCCGCCCCCATCACGCTTTGCCTGAGTTCCAACCACTTCTGTTTACCGTCCAAAGTCCCAGGGGCAGGAGATGCCAGGTTAGAAGCACTTGGACACTCGGACACACGGGTTCAGGGCCCTCGCCTGGACAGGCCCCCTCCCCTTCCCTCCTTTCCTCTGTGAGCACCACCTGCTCCACTTCTGGCTCAAGCCCCTCCTTCACCCTGGGGCCTGGGCTGCCTGGGAGACTGGAGAGTCAGCCCTCCAAACCTGTAGCAGGTAACCGAGGTCGGGAGGCAGGTGGGACTGGGGTGTCTGGGATTAAAGAGACCCTGGTTCAGAGAGAGTGGGGGGCTGATGGGAAGATGTGGGGTGATTTGGAACGTATGGAGGGGAGGCTCCCGGCCATGTCAAGGCCCAGGCATCTCCTGAGGAAGGATGGGACCCAGCTGTATTTCAGCCCCACACTTCCCGCCAACCTCAGATCCAACCCAAACAGTTGCCTCGACCTACTATCAGCCTCCGCCTGAATTAGCATCTTAGCACAGCAGCAAGCCCGAGCTCAGCCCCAGCCCCAGCCCAGGACCCAGCATGGCGAGGGACTTTCAGGACATCCAGCATCTGGGCTCTGAGGAGAACGACCACCAGTTTTGCAGAGGTGAGGGCCCAGGCACTCGCGGGCGCAGTCCCAGGAGAGAAGATCCATTCTGGAAAGGCAAGTGTCTGGTGTCTGGGGCTTCGCTCCACCTTGGTCTAGCTCCTGGTCGCCCTCTGTCCCTCTGAGGTCTCTGTCACATTCACTCTGTGACCAGGGACTGTCCCCTGACCTCACCTCCTTCCACACCCCCAGGACCCCAAGAAAGGACCCCCTCTTCCTTCCAACCTAGGTAGCGTGTGCCGGGGGGGGGGGGGGGGGGGGGGTGGGTAGGTGTGTGTTGGAGGGAAAGAGCACAGAGATTCTGGAAGATTCCCACTTACCCCAAGCCCCCTGCCTGGATCCTTCTCTAGCAAATCTTGACCGAATGCTCCAAGTGTCTGAGAGAAGGTTTTCAGGTGAGAAGGATCTGAGCAATTCTAGGCTGAAGGGCTGGAGCTGGGGTGGGGGAGGGGTGTCAGGTGTTCATGCTGGTGATGGAGTGAAGCTCTGTGGAGACCAGGAGGGGTTGGGACTCGAAGCTCAGGGAGGAGGATTGGTTAGCCTGGGCTGGGAGGAGGGACCTCTCAGTCCTGAGGCTGGCAGACCAAGGGAGGGCAGGTGCTCTTGCAGGTGAGGGTGGGAGCTGGGCAGGGCAGGAACAGCAGGAAGGACGGGTATTCCCACCACACTTCTCCTTTCCTGGGGTAGCGGGCTGGCAGACCTTTCCACCAGGCAGTAGGCTGCATGGGGAGAGCCATATCTGTCTACTCCTCTCTGCACCCCCGGGGCCCACGTGCTGCCTGGTATGTAGTGAACACTCAAAAATGATTTTGGATATTGTTGAATCTTCTGAAGACAAGAGGATTCAGTGTTTAAACAGGAGGCTTGGAGAGAGTCTAGAGGTTTTGGATTTCGTGGGAGAGGGGGCTCACCCAAAAAAGACCTGGTGGACAGCATTGCAGGGTGAGACCGAGCGGGTGCAACCATCGGTACTCTTCTCTCCAGCAGCCTCTGCTGCCTTCATGTGGGCTGTGATAAATGGAATATTTATAAATGGAATATTTCCTGCCATATCAATAAACAAAGGATGTCACAGTCATCAACATTGCAACCCTCCAATGGGAGCCGGTGATCCCTGAGGGAACTCATCCCTGAGGGAACTCGGGGCTGAAAAGAATACCTGCCATCTAGCAGCCATCAGACTGCAGCCACTCCCTGCGGTGAGCCCTGAGGAAACTCAGGATGTGAAAATACATGATACTGGCCCCAGATGGCTGAGGTGCATATCAAAGGAATGATTTCAGTGAGCCCAGACCCTTGCATCTTCCCATACATAGAAAAGCTCTTAACTTGAGATATCTGGTTTTCTTTAATTAACAATAATCTTTTGATGTTCCCAACTACCAGCCCTTTGTTGCAAAACCTCTATATATCCTGGCTCCTCCCCTCACCTCCTCGGGGCAGTTTCTCAGAGTTATCTGTCTCCCGGGCTGCAGTCCTCATTTTGCCCCAAATAAAACTGAACTCGAACATTTTTTTTAAGTCAACAGCTGACATCTGCCGCCTGCTTACCAGGGACCACATTCCATTCTTCCCCAGCCTTTTATATGCCTATAGTTTTCAGAAGATTTAGAAATATATTGGCCATTATTTCCTCCAAAAATTTTTCTGCATCCCCATCTCCCCTTTCCATCAAGACTCCAATTACACATATATCAGTGATCCCACAGCTCACTGGTGGTCTTTCTAGTTTGGAAGGAGGGGTGGGAATCTTTTTTCCCTTGGTGTTTCTCTTTATATAGTTATTATTGCTATGTCTCTAAGTTCACTGATCTTTCCTTATGCATGTCTAATCTTCCACTAATTCTCTCCAGTGTATTTTTCATTCCAGACATTGTAGTTTTCATGTCTAGAAGTTCAACTTGGGACTTTTAAATATCTTCTTTGATAGCCAACTTAATTTTTGAATACTTTACAATAACTTTTAATGTCGTTGTCTGTTAATTCTAACATCTGTGTCAGTTCTGGATCGGTTTTGGTAGATTTATTAACCTCCTCATTATGAGTTGTGTTTTCTGGCTTCTTTGTATGCCTGGTAATCTTTGATTGGATGCCAGACATTGTGAATTTTACCTCGTTGTGTGCTGGATATATTTGTATTCCTCTAAATATTCATGAGCTTTGTTCTGGGATGTGGTTAAGTAACTTGGAGTCAATTTGATCCTTTTGGGTTTGCTTTTATAATTTGTTAGGTGGGTTGGGAACTTCTTGGGTACTCTACCCAGTGCCCTGTGGGTTATGAGATTTCCAGTCTGGCTTGTGGGAATAGGCACTATTCTTGGCCCTGTTCCTGCCAGGCACTGTTCCCTAAAGCTTTTGGATTGTTTTTCTCCTGGCCTTGGGTAGTTTTCCTTACACGCATGTGTTGATCAGTACTCAGCTGCTTGCTTGAGGGAAACCTTCCCCAGATCTCTGGGATTCTCTCTGCAGCTCTCTTCTCTGATCCTCTGTCCTGTGAATTCTGACCCCTTTGGTCTCCACAGACTTCCAGCTCCATCTGGGCTCTGATTGGATTTCCCCTCCCAGCCCTGTGGCCTGAAAACTTTCTCCCAGCAGGAGGCTGGGGCAATCAGACGGCTCACCTTGTTTGTTTTCTGTCTCCACAGGGATCATTGCCCTTTGTTTCCTGAATCCCAGTGTCTCGAAAAATATTGTGTCTTACAGCTATCTGTCTTTTGTTGTGGTTGTTTCTGGGAGGAGGGTAAATCGAGCCCCCCCTCTGGGTCCATGTTTAGACCCGTTTTTTTTTTACTTTCAAACTTGCCTGTGCAGCACTTTCTATGTTTAATTTCATTCTCAGAATAATCCATTCAGGTAGCTACTGTTCTTACCCCAATTTTTAAAAATCGCAGTAAGAACACCTAATATGAGATGTACCCACTTGACACATTTTTAAGTGCCCAGCAGCCCATTGTGAGCTTGGGCACCACGTTGTACGGCAGATCTCTGGAACTTATTCAACTTGCATGACAAATTTTATACCCCTTGAACAGCAATTCCTCATTTCCCCAGCCCCTGGCAACCACCATTGTACCCTCAATTCCTGAGTTTGACTCTTTTGGATTCCTCATTTAAGTGGACATGAGAAAACGGAGGCTCCCAGAGGTTCAATGACTTGTCTGTGACCTCAGAGCCAGTTGGTGGCACAGCTGATCAGCTGTGGAGGGTCTGGTTTCATGGTAGAGGTGCAGAGATAAATGCTGAGCTGACCCAGAGTCAGGGGTTTATAGGTCATAGGTCAGGTTGGGAAGCAGGACAGGGGCCCGCTGAGTGGATGGTGCTGGAGAGAGCAGTCAGGGCTCAGCCATGGGGTCCCCTCTGGGTGGGGAAGACTGTGGTCTGGGAGAGCTTCTCTCCCAGGGGATTGAGGAAGACTTGTTGGGGGTGAGAGGAAAAGGGGAGGATATGCTGAGAGGGGGGAGTGGGCAGTGGGGTGTCAGAGACATGCCTGTCTGGGTCAAGAGGAAGGCTGGGTGTGGCTGACGTGGAGGAAGGTGACAGTCCTTGGTGTGAGGGGTCAAGAGTTCTGGGTGGATGAGGGGGTGCCTGGTTGTGGAGAGAGGGGGCTCAGGGTCCAAGGCAGGGAAGAGGAAGTGTTCTGTTTGCAGGAGGAAGACACAAAAGCAGGAGCCCACGGCTGGGAGGACAGCCACTGCCAAGCCTGCAGAGTTGGCAGGAGGGGAGAGGCCAGCTCTGCGTGTGTGAAGATGTGGGTGCACGAGTGTGAGAGCGTGTGAGTGTATGAGAATGTGTGTGTGTTACGTGTGCTGCAGTATGTGCGAGAGTGTGTGAGAGGACGGGCATCTTAGTGCGTGTGTGAGAATGTGCTAAGGAGAGTGTGTGCTCGCATGAGTGAAATGAAAAATGCGTGTGTGATTGTGTGTGTGGGGGGGGGGCAGGGCTCAGCTTGGGCAGGGGGGACGGAGAGGTTTCTGTGAGATGATTGAGCGCTAAGGGGAGAAGGTTTATGGTGGAACAGAGGTTTCTGGGGGGCAAGGGTGGAGGGAAGAGGGCAAGGAGGCCCTGAGTGGTGGGAGATGGGAGGATGGGCTTGGGGGGCGGCCCCTGGGGAGTGGTCCATGGTGGAATGACCCTGACTTAAGGATCCCAGTGGAATTGGGGGCAGTTGTCCCAGTTTTGGATTTGTCTGAGGGGCCCAGACAAATTTTAAGACAGGGTCTAGCCTCTAGGACCCCCAGGTCCAAGATCAAGGCTGTGCACACAGATGATGTGAATATCACGTGCGTGTGCACCATATGCACCTCTGTGTGTGTGCATGTTTGCATGAGTTCCTGTGGGTGTGAGTGTACAAATGTGTGTGTGTGTGCACGCTGCATGAACGCTGGGGTAAAGCCCATTGACTCCCCCAATAGCACCCCCATCTACCTTCCTCTTGCCCCCTCCCACCCCAAGGCTGTACGTCCTCAGGCTCTGTTCCCCTGATGCTCAATGACACTGGCTTTCCAGCTCCCCTGCCTCCGATGCCCCTCGTCCTGACACCCCTTCTCTTGCAGGGATGCCTCCTCCCCAGCCCTTTGTCCTGCAGCGTCTCTGTTCCCAGCTCCGCCTCAGTCTGCTTGTCCTGGGCTTCAACATCCTGCTGCTGGTGGCCGTCTGTGTGATGGGGTCCCAAAGTAAGGGTCACAGGGGTGGGGCAGCAGTGGGGGAGGCGATACAGGCAGTGCTGGGGGCAATGAGAGCCACGATAGGGGAAGAGATGGGGGCAGTGCTGGGGCAAATATGGGGGCAGTGCTGGGGTGGGGAAGGGGACAGTCAGATGGATAGTGATATGGAACACAGCGCAGCCCACTTCATCCTGTTCTGACAAGGAGCACAGCTGCAAGTGGAGCTGCAGACTCTAAAGGAAACTTTCAGCAACTTCTCCTCGAGCACCTTGATGGAGATCCTGGCTCTAAGCTCCCATGGTGAGTGAGAGTGCCCCTAGGGGAGGGACTGGGATGGGCTGGATGGTCAAGGAGCTGGTTTTTCAGCATGGGTTTGCTGGACTCCGTACTGGGTGCCCAGTGCTGGATCTGCAATAGGGGAGTGTTTGCGGGGTGCTGGGGGCAGGGTGTGCACAGATGCGGGCAGATAACCCAACCGGAGAAGCTGGGCAAGGCTTCTAAGGATGCTGATTCCTGAGCCGAGGGTCCCTGAAGGATGAATAGGTGTTAGAGTGGAGGATGGAGGTTAGAGCCAGGTGGAGAGCAGAGTCTGTGATGACCGGGGCATGAGGAAGACCACTGCACATTCTGGGACTCTAAACGCGTCCAGTGTGGCAGGAGGTGTGGGCCAGAGAGGTGGGTAGGGGCCGGGCCATGCAGGCAAGCCATGCTAACTCGTGAGACTTTATTTTGAGAAAGTGGGAATCCATCGGAAGGATTTAGCAGTGGACAGGCCTGCGCAGTTTACGCTTCAGAAAATCACTGCGCAGCATAGGGAAGAGTGGGCGGAGTCGGGGAGACCAGTGGGCGGGGCACGCAACGTCCCACGTCAAGGTAAAGGTGGCCCAGTGGTGTGAGGATAGAGGGATGTTGGGGATGCGGAACGGAGGGAAAACAGTTTAGCTTTCCTCTTTTTCAGGAGGCAGCGCCGGTGACAAGGTGACATCTCTGGAAGCCAAGCTGGAAAAACAGCAGCAAGACCTGAAAGCAGGTCAGACTCTCCCTTGAGAGAGAGAGAGAGAGAGAGAGAGAGAGAGAGAGTGTGTGTGTGTGTGTGTGTGTGTTGTGTTTCCCCAGCCAAATGCTGGAGTCCTGGTAGGTGGGCACACATACTGCCCACACCATTGTCATCACTTTGGCCCCTAGATCATGCCACTTTGCTGCTTCATCTGAAGCACTTCCCGGTGGATATGCGCACGCTGGCTTGTCAGCTGGCGTTCCTCCAGAGCAACGGTAGGGACGGGGCGGGGTGTGGGGGTGTCTCCAGTCCTTCTTGCCTGTCCCGTCCAGCTGAATCTCATCTCCCTCTGCTCCCCAATGCCTTCAGGCACAGAGTGCTGCCCCGTGAACTGGGTGGACTATGAAGGCAGCTGCTACTGGTTCTCTCGCTCGGGGAAGCCCTGGCCTGAGGCTGAGAAGTACTGCCAGCTGGAGGACGCCCACCTGGTGGTCATCAACTCCAGAGAGGAACAGGTGAAACCGTACCTTTCCCAAAGGCAGGAGGAAACCTTGGGAATGCAAACTCTGGGAGGCTGGGTCAGGCTTGTTTTGTTATTTTTTCTAACCTGAGGAAGAATCCAGAAGCAGAAGTCTGGCCCGGATCTGGGAGATCCATGATGGAATCTAAGCCATTGATTCTAAGAGGTGGGAGATTACAGCCCGGAGCTGGGGCAAAGGACAGGAGCCAGGTGACCAGGTGATGAGGAGCACGTCAGGAGACAGAATATGTGGCAGGATGAACTAAAGGGCCGGGACTTGGGTGGAGAACACAGTGGAGCCAGTGAGAGTCCCTGCTTGCTGTGTGCTGGCCTTGGCATGTGATGGTCCCTTGGGTGAACGGAACAGAGTGGGCGGGATTCCCAGAGACTCACCGCTGTGGGTTACTGGGTTCCTCCAAAGCACCCCAGGTCTCCCTTCCTGATGCTGTCACCAGACCACAACCCCAAATGGCAAGTTCACAGGGAAGAACCAACCCATTAGAACGGGTGGGGCATTTTTGGGAAAAGTAAATGGTAATATTTACTGAGTCCTTACTATGGGCCAGGCACTTTTATATATCTACTTTAATCCTCACAACCCTATGGGGTAGGCATTCTTGTTATCCCCACTTTGAGGGGCATAGAGATGAGGGAACTAAAGAGCAGAGAGGTTAAGTAACTTGCCACACGTTCTGCATGGTAGAATGATTCCAAACATATCTTGCTTTACCAATCAGGTTGAAATTGCCAACATTCTATCAGTATTGGCCTATAAAATATCAATTTCATGTGGGTCAACCTAAGATTTCAGCAGTCTGTGATTTGGTCCACAAAATTTCATGCCGGCTACAACTTCATGGTGGATGGGTTTGTACCTTCATCATTTAAAAAAAAAAAATTATTTATTTGGTTGGTTGCACCAGGTCTTAGTTGTGGCTCTCGGGCTCCTTAGTTGCAGCAGGCGGGCTCCTAGTTGTGGCATGCATGTGGGATCCCTGACCAGGGATCAAACCCGGGCTCCCGGCATTGGGAGCGCAGAGTCCTATCCACTGTGCCACCAAGGAAGTCCCCACCTTCATCATTTTGAAGTGAATGTCAGTGTCCTGTTGAATGCTTTTTGCCTTGAATTTGTCTTCATGTGATATGAGTAGACTGGTCCTTGATTTCGCTTGCATTTGCTTCATGTATCTTTGCGCATCCTTTTATTTCCAACCTTTCTGAGTCTCACAGATGAGTCATTCTCAGCCTTCGCAGTATATTGTAATCTCTTGAGGAATTTAAAACATATTGACACCTGGTCTTACACTCAAAGATTCTGATTTAGTTAATTTTGGATTCATCCTGGGCACTGAGATTTTTTAAGGTCTCCCCCCGACCCCACCCGTGTGATGCTACTCTACTGTTCAGCTAAGCTTAAGGTATTTCTCCTACAGGTTGTGTATAGTTGTTTTTGGTTTTTAAAAACTGAGTATGTTAGAGACTTTTTGCCTTTAAGAGGTGAGTGTTATCTCATTTACATTTCTTTTTCTTTTTCTTTTTTCTTTTTGCGGTAAGTGGGCCTCTCACTGTTGTGGCCTCTCCCGTTGCAGAGCACAGGCTCCGGACGCGCAGGCTCAATGGCCGTGGCTCACAGGCCTAGCCGCTCCGCATGTGGGATCTTCCCGGACTGGGGCACGAACCCGTGTCCCCTGCATCGGCAGGCGGACTCCCAACCACTGCACCACCAGGGAAGCCCTATTTTTCTTTTTTTAAAAAATTTATTTTATTTATTTATTTTTAGCTGTGTTGGGTCTTCGTTGCTGCGTGCAGGCTTTCTTTAGTTGTGGTGAGCGACGGCTACTCTTCGTTGCGGTGAGCAGGCTTCACATTGCAGTGGCTTCTCTTGCTGTGGAGCACGGGCTCTAGGTGTGTGGGCTTCAGTAGTTGTGGCATGCGGGCTCAGTAGTTGTGGCTCGTGGGCTCTGAGCTCAGGCTCAATACTTGTGGTGCACGGGCTTAGTTGCTCTGCGGCGTGTGGGATCTTCCTGGACCAGGGCTCGAACCCATGTCCCCTGCATTGGCAGGCGGATTCTTAACCACTGCGCCACCAGGGAAGCCCCTCTTTTCTTTTTTTAACTGAAGTATGATGCACAATATTGGGTTAGTTTGAGGTGTATAGCAAAGTGATTCAGTTATATATTTTTTTCAGATTATTTTCCATTTTAGGTTATTATAAGATATTGAATATAGTTCCCTGTGCTATACAGTAAATCCTTATTGCTTATCTATTTTATGGATAGTAGTGTGTATCTGTTAACCCCATACTCCTAATTTATCCCTCTCTGCCTCCCTTTCCCCTTTGGTAACTATAGGTTTGTTTTCTATGTCTTCTGTTTGTGAGTCTATTTCTGTTTTGTATATAGATTCCTTTGTATTATTTTTTATATTCACACATAAGTGATATATAATATTTGTCTTTGTCTGACTTAGTATGATAATCTCTAGGTCCATCCATGTTGCTGCAAATGGCATATTTAATTTTTTTTATGGCTGAGTAATATATATATATATATATATATATACATACATACATACATACATACACCACATCTTCTTAAGCCAGTCATTTGTCAGTGGACACTTAGGTTGCTTCCATGTCTTGGCTATTGTAAATAGTGCTGCTATGAACATTGGGGTGCAGGTATCTTTTCGAATTAGAACTTTTGTCTTTTCCAGATATATACCCACGGGATATACCCACGGGTGGGATTGCTTGATCGTATGGTAGCTCTATTTTTAGTTTCTTAAGGAACCTCCATAGTGTTTTCCATAGTGGCTGCACCAACTTACATTCCCACCAACGGTACGAGGGTTCCCTTTTTTCCACACCTTCTCCAGCACTTACTGTTTGTAGACTTTTTGATGATGGCCATTCTGACCAGTGTGAAGTAATACCACATTGCGGTTTTGTTTTGCATTCCTCTAATAATTAGCCATACTGAGCATCTTTTCATGTGCCTGTTGGCCATCTGTATGTCTTCTTTGGAGAAATGTCTATTTAGGTCTTCTGCCCATTTTTTTTTATTGAGTTGTTTGCTTTTTCGATATTGAGCTGTATGAGCTGTTTTTATATTGGGGACATTAACCCCTTGTCAGCTGCATCATTTGCTAATATTTTCTCCCTTTCCATAGACTGTCTTTTGTTAAGGGTTTCTTTTGCTGTGCAAAAGCTTTTGTTTGATTAGATCCCATTTATTTTTGCTTTTATTTCTTTTGCCTTGAGAGACTGATCTAAGAAAATATTGCTATAATTTATGTCCAAGAATATTTTGTCTATGTTCTCTTCTAGGAGTTTTATGGTGACATGTCATATATAGGTTTTTTTTTTTAATAAGTTTATTTATTTATTTTTGACTGCGTTGGGTCTCTGTTGCCGTGCACGGGCTTTCTCTAGCTGCCGCAAGCGGGGGCTACTCTTCGTTGCGGTGCGTGGGCTTCTCATTGCAGTGGCTTCTCTTGTTGCAGAGCATGGGCTCTAGGCACTCCGGCTTCAGTAGTTGTGGCTCACGGGCTCCAGAGCACAGGCTCAGTAGATGTGGCGCACGGGCTTAGTTGCTCTGAGGCATGTGGGGTCTTCCCAGACCAGGGCTCAAACCCATGTCCCCTGCATTGGCAGGAGGATTCTTAACCACTGTACCACCAGGGAAGTCCCAATATATATAGGTTTTTAAACCATTTTGAGTTTATTTTTGTATATGGTGTGGTGGGGGAGTGTTCTAATTTCATTGATTTACATGTAGCTGTCCAGTTTTCCCAGCACCAATTGTTGAAGTGACTCTTTTCTGCATTGTATATTCTTGCCTCCTTTGTTGTAGATTAATTGGCCGTAGGTGTGTGGGTTTACCTCTGGGCTGTCTCACTTACATTTATTTTAAAATACATATCTTTAATCCAGTCTTTTTTTTTTCTGTTTTGTATGCTGCTTTTGTTTTCTGCCATTTGCTATCAGAGATTTATTATTTTTGTTTTCTCCTCTGTGTTATTTTGGACTAGATGTAGCCTGTATTTCATTATACTAGTAATTACTGTCATAACTTTATTTATTTTATTTTATTTATTTATTTATTTTTGTGGTACGCGGGCCTCTCACTGCCGCTGCCTCTCCCATTGTGGAGCACAGGCTCCGGACGCGCAGGCCCAGTGGCCATGGCCCATGGGCCCAGCTGCTCTGCAGCACGCGGGATCTTCCTGGACCGGGGCACGAACCCGTGTCCCCTGCATCGGCAGGCGGACTCTCAACCACTGCGCCACCAGGGAAGCCCTACTGTCATAACTTTAAATGATGGGCTGAAACTTATTGGCTTCAAAAAATAAAAGAGGTTATATAACTTTCCATATGAAAGATGAGGAAACCAGCACACCTTCACATGCCTCACTCTTTTCTCTTTTTTAAAATTGAGATATCATTGACATTTAACACTGTGTAAGCTTGAGGTGTACAGCATGCTGGTTTGATACATTTACATACTGCAATATGATTAATACAGTAGTGTTAGCTCTCACCTTTATCATGTCACATAATTATCATTTCTTTTTTTGTTGAGAACAATCAAGAACTAGTCTCTTAGCAACTTTGAGGCTTATAATGCCTTGTTCGTTTCTCTCCCACATTCCTTAAATGTTTGCACGAATAGTTGGAGTCTTTTCTGTCTTTGAATTTCATTAACCTCGTCCAGATATATCTCAGTGTTGCTCATTCTCTCTGTATTTTTACTCTGAGGCCAGGAGAGTCCTTTTAACACATAAAGTTAGGTTTTCTAACATTTTGGAAGATTTTCTTAAGCCCTGTGTTTGAAAATTTTTTCTTGACCATTTGTTCACTTTTCCTCTGGAGCACATCTTCCAAAATGATCTCCATTGTCTGCCCCCATAGCCATCATCTTACTGCTATTTACTTCCATCTTTCTCTCTTTTCCTCTGTATTCTGGGTTCTTTTCTCAAGCCTATCTTTTGTATTTCAGGCTTGTTTTTTTTTGCTGAATTGCTGGGGTTTTTTGTTTTTAATGTACTTCAAAATTTTCTCTTCAATTTCTTCCCTTTACTTTTCATTGTTATCTTTCTTCTTTGATATATTGTTTCATATTTTTATGTCGTTCATCTCCTCTTCAGTGTTTTTTGAGGATGTAAGTTGTTCTCCAGTATCCTCTTATGTTTTGAAACATGCCTTCTTTACAAAGTATATTTTTCACCTCTCTTTTGATATCACAGTGCTTTTTTTCCTCCTCTTCCTTTCCATCCTCTTTATTTTTGCACAAGTTCCATGATAATACTCCCCTGTGCTACTTTTTTGAATGGGCTGAATTCTTTCTTGCCTGTTATTTACTTGTGAACAGGGCAGATGCATTCTTCTGGACTATCTTCTTCAATCATTTGGCAGTATTTCATTCTTCCCCTCAGTCTTCAACACAGAGGGCTGGATACTGATGATTTGTATTCTTTGTTCAGTTATTCAGCTTCTTGTGATGGTGGGAAGAGGGCACTGGGGCAGGTGGCAGCAGCGAATAGAATATCTTGTCTCCAGTCACTTTCCCTCCAGCTCAGTTGACTCCCTTGATTTTGGGGAGCACCCCTACCAGCCTCTGAGGGCTGTCCCTTCATGCGCAGGATGTTGACCTATTTGCAGGATTCTAGAATTGAAAGGTGCTACTGTATCTGCCTTTAGATGAGGTGACTAACTGCAATCTTAGTTGGGTCTCTAGGACATGAGAGTGGAATTAGGAAATTTTCCTCCAAATGCAGTTGGAGACCTTTCATATGCTGTCAAAGAGAACTGCTACACGTGCATGTTGGTCACCCATCCTCCTGTTTTCTTCATAAAACAAGGTGATCACACCCTCCCTCTGCTGCCCTCCCAAACCAGGGGACTTAACTTCCCAGAAAGGGCCATATCTATAAGAGAAAGCTGCTCGGATGTCTGTTGTCCTAGGAGGTGTGCATGAACCCTGGCAAGCTATCTCAAAGACAACTTGTGTCCCAGCCGTTGCCAGCTGGATGGCTGGGCTGCCCCTCGCACATAGGGCATCTTCCTATTTTCATCCAGACTGCCAGACTCCATGTAGCCAAGTCATAACAGGGCTCTGGGCAGTGGGTCCAAGCTTGGAAGCTCTGGGGCCTGGAAAACAACAGAAATGACAGCTATACACAGAAGCAGGAGCAGATAAGTGTACGTGAGAGGCGAGTGAAACTGAGATCCTTAATGGGTAACTGGGGCCCATGGGGGCGGCAGGGGCTGGGGTCAGGATCCAAGAGTTTGAGGCTGTGAGCAGAACACAAGGAGAAGCCTAGAATCTGAGTCTAGCAGCCGTGCGTTAGGAATAAAACGGGAGGCCAGGTCAGGGGGCAGCGGTCATGAACTCAGGCACTGGATTGATGCTCTGGGTTCCACGATTACCGTGAGTTCCTTGACCTCACATGTAAAGTGTGAATCATTAGGGCGCCCAGTTTAGAGGGCTTTATGAGATTTAAATAAAATAATCCTTGTAAAGCACTTAGTGCAAGGTTTAGCCCAGTAAATATTCACTAAATGCTAGCTATGGTTGCAGAAGAAAAAGCAAGGAACTAGTGTTGGGAGCTGCTGCTTCAAGGTGGCAGCAGATCAGGCTGGGGAGGGCTGTGGGAACCATAACTGATGCCTGCATGGAAGTACAAGGGACTAGAAACTTCCCTCCTGCCTGTTTTCCAGAAATTCATTGCACAACACACGAACCCCTTTCAAACCTGGATAGGCCTCACTGACAGTGATGGCTCCTGGAGATGGGTGGATGGTACAGACTATAGGCACAACTATAAGTAAGTGGCTTCTCCTCCTCTCTCCCTGTTAGTTTGGCCTGGGGATGGCCATCTGGTCTCTTCCCCCAGTACACTCCCACTCGTCCCTCAGGGACCAAATTCTCCAGCCATCTTCCCCCCAGACTCCCAGACTTCAAGGCTACAGCTGCTGCTCCCTCAACCGCCCAAGGCCATGCGTTTCTGAGGTGGGGATGAGGGTTACTGGGATGAGGGGGCATCCAGAGCTGAGCTCTGTCCCGCTTTCCTAGGAACTGGGCTGCCACTCAGCCAGATGACTGGCAGGGGCACGAGCTGGGGGGCAGCGAGGACTGTGCTGAGATCCAGGGGGATGGCCGCTGGAACGACGATTTCTGCCAGCAAGTGAAACGCTGGGTGTGTGAGATAAAGCGGAACATCACCATCTAGGTGTCCTGACCTCCAGCAGACCTCTGACCTCCAGCAGACCTCTGACCTCCAGCAGACCTCTGACCTGCACCCTGCCTGCCTCCAAGTCCTCCACTGGGCATTTTGAAGAAAGGAAGAAGAGAGTCCTCAGAGGCATGGGGAGGGGTTGAGGAGAGATAGAAGGGGGTGGTTGAAGAAGCTCAGACCTTGGGGAGACTGAGATCCCGCCTCCTTCTGAAAGTCACTGTAATTACTATTATAATTTTTGGCCTCCTCAATGGATTAGGAAAAGGACAGATACTTGAAACTCTGCGTGGATTTGTTATTTGGAACTGGGAACTGTAGGGTACAAAGAAGAGGGAGGGAGAGGGTCTGGAAGAGAGAAAGCTTAAGTGCTAGATGGCTGTCCTTGACACCTAATCTTGAAGACATGGGTCAGGGAGCGGAGGGAGAGGTTCTGGAAGAGAGAAAGCTTAAGTGCTAGACGGCTGTCCTTGACACCTAATCTTGAAGACATGGGTCAGGGAGGGGAGGGAAGAGGATTGAAACAGAGGAAGGCCCCGTGGAAGGCACTGGTGGGGGCAGGGAGCTGGCTGGGCTGGGGCTGAGGGTCTGCCCACACCCTGAGGGGTTCCCTGCAGTTGGGATCCCCTCCAGAAGAGGTTCCAGGGAACACCCCTGCTCCACTGTCAGCCTGGGAACTGTGAACTGGGCTGGCAAAGGTCAGTGACAAAGGTGTGCTAAGAGAAGGAAGATTGGTATGACCCCAGATAGACCTAGACGTGTCTCCAGCACATGGTGTCTCCAGCAGTCTCCACAGTGGGTAAACTGCATCTTCCAAGATCATTCTGAAACTGACCTTAAAAAAGAGTCTGTAATCAATTAGATTTTTTGGTTTTATTTTTATTACAAAAGTAATATATACTAGTAGTTAAAAATGTTTCAAACACACACACACATGCACACTGGGAGTCTCCTCCTCTCACCCTTCCCACTTCTCCGCAGAGTTAACAATTTTCATGGATATTGTATTAGTCAAGGGTCTCCAAAGAAACAGAACCAATAGGATGTATATGTACCAATAGGAGATATATTGGCTCATGTGATTATGGAGGCTGACAGCTCCTGAGTTCTGCAGGTGAGCTGAAGAGCCACAAGGTTCCCATCTGAGTCTGAAGCCTCAACACCCAGGAAAAGCCAGTGTTTCCATGTGCCAGTTTGGAGAGGGTCAGGCAGGAAGACCTTTCCCTTACTCATGAGAGGGCCAGCCTTCTTGTTCTCTTCTTGGCTTCAACTGATTGGGTGAGGCCCACCTGCATTAGGGAGGGCAATCTGCTTTCCCAATTCAAATGTTCATCTCATCCAAAACACTCTCACAGACACACTCAGAATAATGTTGGACTAAATATCTGGGCACCCTGCGCCCCAGTCAAGTTGACACATAAAAATGAACCATTACAGGGTTCCTGTCAGGATGTTTCCTGTGTATGTGCGTATATGTGATACTACATGTCATTAGTAGCTTGTTTTTTCACTCTCCAGTGTCTCATTGATCCAATCTATGCTATTTCCTGAGAGGTTTTACTTCACTGAATTTAGCAGGGGTAGAGAATTCCAAAGTATGGATGTGCCATATATTATTTAATCATTCTCTGTGGTGGGTGAGTAGTTGCTATTTTTGTTTGTTTTCACATATAATGTTTCAAGCAATTTTTGTTTCTAAGCTTGTGCTGGGTCAAGACTTCCCAATTTTCAGCTGCAAATTTTTCTAGGACTTTTCCTTCAAAATGTATGTAATTGGCATTAAATTTAAAAATTATGACAGAAATAATACATACAATTTAAAGTCTTGTAGGGCTGGAAGCAGTTACAGGAACTGTTTCCTTCAGCCACTCCTGCTGCTTAGAGAAACCACTTTTAGTGTTTTAGCTGTTTCCCTTAGTGTTGACATTTGTACTTCTAAATAATATACACAAACTGGTATCTCTTTATTTATCAGTTGTAGACATTATTTAGTCACTTTTCATCACGTAGGTGGGCACAATTTTCCAATTTAGCCTATAGCAATCTTTGCTTAAATCCTAATTCAGAATCTGTGTCAGTTATGGCTGTGTCAATATTGTTAACTGCTGAACCAAGTAGTATAATCTGATTACATTTCCTTTCTTGCACAACTTTTGTTTCTTCTGAAGTTAATAGTTGAAAAATTTGCTTCATATTCTTTGAAACAATTGCAAAGTCTTCCTTAACTGTAAAAAGGCTGACAACATAATTTTCTGCACGTGCAAACTGGTCACATAGCCAGTACTTCAGTTGTAGTTTTTTCCTAGAGCCACCAGGGTGAATCCAAGTTTTATGGGGGCTGAAATGTACACAATTTTGGAGAGGCCTCCTTAGGAAAAAATACAAAATTATGAATACAAAATTAAGCATAAAATTGCTATTTACTTAGGAAAAAAAACAAGCTGAAAGCTACCGTAAACATCACAAAATACAGAAAACTGATATAATATTTTTAATAATCTTCCAACACACCTGTGAAATCCATTTTCCCCACACTTCTTGGCTGCATACTTACTGTTTACTTCTGCATGTGACAAAGGTGTTGTAAGGTGACTTTCCACAGAGAGAAGAGAAGGATAATTGAGGATTTCCTCTAGCATGTTTCTTCTTTACTACTGATGTCAGTGCTTCAGGGAAGCTCATGGCCCACCTTCATGTCACCCCCAAGTGAGTCTACACAGTGGATGCCAACAGTGCCTGTGAAAGCCATGCCTGGGCAGGTGAGCCAACCCTAAGTATGAATGATGTGACTGCAGAGCACATAGCAGGGTCCCTCCCCACTCAAGCCAAACCTGTATTTCCACCCCAACTTCTTAGTTGGATTAAAAAAAGGCCACCTGACACAGAGGGAAATGTGAAGGAGAAGTTGGAGTTAAAAGTGATGTGGTCATCTTAACTGGTTATAGTCAGTTATTTGTTTTTATAATTGACAAAAACTTCTGATCATGGCCTCGGGTACCATGTAAGGGGCCCACAATCGGGCCTCGAGCTCAAGCTCCCTTAGGCTTCCTGTTGATCCACTTTTGTACCTTCCCCTCCCCCGTTCTCCCCCCACCACCACCACACCTCCCCCTGCCAGCAGTTTTCTTGGGACTTCCCGATAGTCCTGGGAAACACCTGGACCGCCTCTTTCTCCTGGGCTGGATCCTCTCTTCCCTGGATCTGTGTGTTCTTTCTTGGTTTATCCCCTTGTTTTATTGAAGCATCCCCTCCAGTAGCTTCCTGGAAAAGGAAGGGACTTTTTTGGATAGCTTGATTGATCGTTTGTGGAAATATGGAATTCTAGGTTGAAAATGATCTCCCTTCACCATTTCATATGCCTCACCCCGTGTTTCCCATTTGCTATGTGCTGTGGAGAGAGCTGACCCTATTCTAGGCCTGATCCTTTGGATGGGAACCTTCCCCCTCTTTAGGATGTTCCCTTTAACCCTGAGGTCTGAAAATCACCACTGACGTGCCTTTGGTGCGGGCCTCGCAGTCACTATACCCGGCTCTCACAGGCTTCTTTCATCTGGGAGAGCGGGAAGGAGACGGTGCAACAGATGTGGTTGGGGCCCAGTGGTTGGGAGCCCAGTGGTTGGTCTTTGGGGCCATCAAGAGGATTCTGGTGCTACTTGCTTGAATTCTGCTGCTGGTGTCCCGTGCTGCGTTCCTCCCTGCCCAGTGTCCCTCGGGTTCATATGGAAAACCTCTGGAGAGGTTTGTCCACATCCTCACCTGCATTTGGTTGCTGTCACTATTTTTTTTTTTTCATCTTTAGCGCCATTCGAATAGGTGTGGTGATATATTACGGTGGTTTTAATTTGCATGTCCCTGATGGCTAATGTTGTGCGTCTTTTTGTGTGCTTATTTTCCATCCATATATCCTCTTTGACACAATGTCTCTTTATATTTTTTGCCCATTTTCTAATTGGATTTTCTTTTTCATTTTTTACTGTTGAGTTTTGAGAATTCTTTATATATTCTAGATACTAGCCTTTGGCTGGAGATGTGGTTTGCAAACATTTTATCCAAATCTGTAGTTTGTCTCTCCTTTTAACAAAAACATTTCTAAAAAGACTGTGATAAATAAAATGTTGGCAAGCCCAATTAAGGAACTGAGAAAAGTGACATGACTACTTGAGATAGGAGGTTAAATGACACTTTTCCTGTTTTTATAGAAATTTGGCTGAATTCCCCAAACTGAGAATGATTGTTGGTAAGTGCTTATACATTTAAAGCAGAGAAGAACTGGGGGTTGGGGGAAATGGGGAGATATAGGTCAAAGGGCACAGATTTCCAGTTATAAGATTAACAAGTTTGGGAATCTAAGGTACAGCATGGTGATTATAGCTAACAATACTGTATCGTATACTTGAATGTTGCTAAGAGAGCAGATCTGAGATGTTCTCACCACAAAAAAGAAATGGTAAATGTGAGGTGGGTTGGAAGTGGTAGCTAATACTATGGTGATAATCATTTTGCAATTTATAAATGTATCCAATCAACACATTGTATACCTTAAACTTACACAGTGTTATGTGTCAATTATATCTCAATAAAGCTGGAAAAGAAGGACTTCCCTGGTGGCGAAGTAGTTAAGAATCTGCCTGCCAATGCAGGGGACACAGGTTCGAGCCCTTGTCCAGATAAATCCCACATGCCGTGGAGCAACTAAGCCCGTGTGCCACAGCTACTGAGCCTATGCTCTAGAGCCTGTGAGCCACAACTACTGAGCCCACATGTCACAACTACTGAAGCCCACACGCCTACAGCCTGTGCTCTGCAGCAAGAGAAGCCACCACAATGAGAAGCCCGTGCACCACAACGAAGTAGCCCCCACTTGCTGCAACTAGAGAAAGCCCTCACGCAGCGACAAAGACCCAACACAGCCAAAAATAAAAATAAATAAATAAATTTATTAAAAAACAAACTGGAAAAGAAACCCAGAGAGGTGCTGAACGTAACTAGTCACAACTTACTAAGAGATGATAAAAAAGAAACCATTCTTCCCAGCCTCTGTAAGTGAAGATTATTTCAAGGGAATTCTTAGATGTAGTGAGAGATTCAACACTTTTTTTCTCTCCATATCAGGGAGAGGAACGCTTCTCCATGCCCCATTGGCCAGATGATGGAGTCCAAAGGGAACCAATGTAGAGACTGGAGTTGTCTTCAAGGGCGTAAGACAGGCCTGTCACTACCAGGCCAGATAGTAGTTAAGCTGCACACTCTATTGGACTGCTATTTGAGAAGAGCAAGAAGAGTTTGCAGGGAGGCTGTGGATGTGTGCTGAGGAGTTTTGGAGTAACCATGGAGAAATAGACTCGTCCTTGACAGAAGTCTGAAGACATAAACCTGGGCTGGAGCTGCCCCATTCATCAGTTGATTGGGTTACACTTGGTTATCTGTCAGGGAACCTGTGAGCCGAGTGGACCCTATGGATATCAAGCTTGAACCACCTAGAGAGGACCCTGCCCAAGAGGACTGCCTGGCAGTAAGGCTGAAAGAGGATGTGGGTATACAGCTGCAATCTGGGGCAGGAACTAATGGTGACCATCACAGAGGGCAGCGAGAGAGCTCATCATCCTCGTGAAGAGCTGGTATGGTGCAGAGGGTCCCATAGGGGTCTCTGAAGCACCACACAAGTAAGGCCAGTGTTGGAGGCCTGCCATGAAGAGCAATTTGACCGCCACAATAGCACCAGATCACAGAGCTCTTTTCCTTGAATTCTCCTCTCCCTTGCCCCAACCCTCAAGGATCAATGAAGAGAAGAGGAAAGAAAGAAAGGAGGAACCAAACAGTCCATGACTCCTGTCCTAGGTTCTTCAGAAGCAGATCTGAAATGAGGATCCCTATGAAAGTAATTCATTAGAAAGTGTTTTCAAGAAAATTAAGGATATGGGGGAACAGGATGAGGAAGAGAAGGACTTCTAGCAGGAGTATAATAGAAGTTGACCGTAAGATGAGGGTTCTTGTAAAAGTGATTCATGAGGAAGTGGCTTTAGGCAATATTAAGCAAAGTCCTGTGGTGGTGGTGTAACAGGCTTAGTCCCACAGGGGAAGAATCGGGAAAACGCCAGTCACATCTCAGAGTTGTCTCAGTCAGAAACAAGGGATCTGGAGTATTTGAACTCTTGCATCCACAGTCATTGGTTAAGGGTGGCCTATGGTTGGTGAGAATGTAAATTCCAAGATATTTCCTGCTTTCTTTGTGCCCAGATGGAGCATGCTGTAGCAGCTTGAGGGCAGTCCACTGACAAAGAGACACAGGTGCTGCTTGTTAAGAATAAAGTCATTTGCAAATGAAGCAACTGACAAAGGATTAATCTCCAAAAGTTATAAGCAGCTCATGCAGCTCAATAACAAAAAAACAAACAACCCAATCCAAAAATGGGCAGAAGACCTGAATAGACATTTCTCCAAAGAAGATATACAGACTGCCAACAAACACATGAAAGAATGCTCAACGTCATTAATCATTAGAGAAATGCAAATCAAAACTACAATGAGATATCATCTCACACCAGTCAGAATGGCCATCAGCAAAAAATCTAGAAACGGGGCTTCCCTGGTGGCACAGTGGTTGAGAATCTGCCTGCTAATGCAGGGGACACGGGTTCGAGCCCTGGTCTGGGAGGATCCCACATGCCGCGGAGCAGCTAGGCCCGTGCGCCACAACTACTGAGCCTGCGTGTCTGGAGCCTGTGCTCCACAACAAGAGAGGCCGCGATAGTGAGAGGCCCACGCACCGCGATGAAGAGTGGCCTCCGCTTGCTGCAATTAGAGAAAGCCCTCGCACAGAAACGAAGACCCAACACAGCAAAAATAAATTAATTAATAAACTCCTACCCTCAACATCTTCTAAAAAAAATCTAGAAACAATAAATGCTGGAGAGGATGTGGAGAAAAGGGAACACTCTTGCACTGCTGGTGGGAATGTGAATTGGTACAGCCACTATAGAGAACAGTATGGAGGTTCCTTAAAAAACTACAAATAGAGCAACCATATGACCCAGCAATCCCACTACTGGGCATATACCCTGAGAAAACCATAATTCAAAAAGAGTCATGTACCAAAATGTTCATTGCAGCTCTATTTACAATAGCCTGGAGATGGAAACAAGTGTCCATCATTGGATGAATGGATAAATAAGATGTGGCACATATATACAATGGAATATTACTCAGCCATAAAAAATGAAATTGAGCTATTTGTAATGAGGTGGATAGACCTAGAGTCTGTCATACAGAGTGAAGTAAGTCAGAAAGAGA